TAATAATAAACAGAAGAATAGAACGAGAACGAGAAATATAATTTGGTTTAATCCACCTTTTAGTAAGAATGTTAGAACAAATGTTGGTAGAAACTTTCTAAACCTGATTGACAAACATTTCCCGGCGTCCAACCCGCTACACAAGATCTTTAACAGAAATCGGTCAAAGTAAGCTACAGTTGCATGGATAACTGTAAAAGCGTCATCTCCAAACATAACCTCGGTACACTTTTAAAGAATAAAACTGTTGTTGTAGCATCTACCAAAGACAACTGTAACTGCATTGAAAGCACTGAATGTCCCTTAAACAATAATTGCCTTACAAAGAGCGTTGTTTATAAAGCCGAGGTTACGGACGACACAGGAGTAATTCGAGATTATATTGGGATGACAACAAACACGTTCAAGAAACGTTATTACAACCACAAGACATCATTCAAAGATACAAGCTATGTAAAATCCACTGAGCTGTCCAAACACATTTGGAACTTGAAAAACAAGAAACGCACATTCAACATCAAGTGGTCCATTCTGAAGCAAGCATCATCTTATCGCAGCGGCGCAAAAAGTTGCAACCTATGCCTCCAAGAGAAACTCCAAATTTTGAAAGGTGATAAGAAAAGATTACTGAACAGGAGATGTGAGCTATTCTCGAAGTGTTGCCACCGGAAACAATTCTTGGCGGGAAAATTTGAACGTGCGCACGCAATACCATCACGCAAGTAGCCTAACGAACTCTCACGTAATCATACAGGAATTTTTATTGAGATTTAAACATTGTCGCCTGAAGATCGCATTGAGCGTGAAACTCAGAGTTGTGACTATATTTTAAGTTAAGAAATTAAATTATTTGCTCTACGTTATTAAATGGTATTGAGCACATATATATATATATATATATATAAATATTCAGACTAGGATCAAAGTTATCGCGGGTCAGTGAAAATCAAAAAATCGCGTCGCGTTGTCGAATCGCGTCCGGTGTGTTTGAACCTTTATACTGAATATACGAGTAATGATCGCAGACAAATATGAAAAGAACATTTGTTAAGATCCATTTTCATGACACGGATATAAATACGAAGTCAGAGTTCTAAATATATTTTTATAGGACTACATACCTTGACGTCGAAGTTTTCTTTCTGTATGCAAGCAGTAGTCTAAAATGATTCTCAAAGCTGTAATAAATGTTATGCTTCAATGATAGTAGAATAAAACAGGGCATTTCCCAAATGCGTCACACATATAATCACGTTTTAAATTAAAACAAATTAAAATTAAAGTACAGGTTGTGAATAGGCCAAATGGGTATCAAAAATAAACTCCACTCTTACAATAGGCTATCTTTTTACTGCCTATATATAAGGACTTACTGATGTTTGCAACGAGACTAATTAGGCCGGCGAAATTGCATACAGAAAGATAAAACTGTGGGTGTCCAGCTATACCTCTTTCGCAGGTCGTAATGAATTTCCTAATCTCGTAAGGCAGAGTATGCCCGTTCGCTGGTTAGAAAGTCCAGCTATTACTTGTTGCCTTCTCCAGAAGGTAATTACCCCAACACTGAACGCAGGTTCACGCTGCTCTTTTGCATTTGAAGCATATATAATATTCAAAAAAATTGTATTAATTTATTATTATTATAATTATATACGTGCAATAATTTTAGGTGCAATAATTTTAGTTACTTTAGTAGCAGTTTAGGCATAATTATTATTTTACAAATTATTTTCGATATTAGCGGATAGTATAATGGCTTACACATGCATACAAAAATACATTACAAATTTAGTTTATTAATAAAAAGGCAAATTGACCTGTCAAATTGTCTTGTTATATATAGAGAGAATATTACACGGCGGCACGAAGATATGATTTTTATCTTCGAGTGGTGAACACAATATTGACAATATTGAGCGCAGCGAGTGAGTGAAATATTGTTTTTAACACGATATTGTTTTTGCTACGGTCGTCGGGAAGTTGTTCTTCACTGTTCATAACGCACTTGCCGCACATTTTCTTGGTTGCTGGGGAGAATCTTCTTGAGGGTGGTGGCGTGTCGATGTAGCCTACATTGTCACTTGTTAAGGATACTTTTCTTTTCTCTTTATTTGTTAATACTTCGCTTTGGACCTTATTGCCGCCAGTGCTCCCTCTCAATGACACCCATTTCTTGAGTGATGATATTCTTTGTCTCGTTTTGCTAGTTTCTTGTACTGGACTTTTTACACCTGCTGCATCTAATAAATCATTCTGTTTATTATATACCGGGTGTCCCAAAAAAAAGTACTCCTGTTTGATTCGTAATAACTTCTAAACAAATACATCTTTTAAAGAGAAATAACTTGCATCAAATAGAGGAAGGACTAACTTAAATTTGGATATATTACAGTTGTATTTCACTTAAAAATGCACGGAGATATTAATATTTAAAATCGGGAGCATATTTCTGGATGTGTCTGAAATATGCAAAAAACGGCGTATCAAATATTAATCAAGATTTGCCCGACTGAAACATGCACTATTACCATGCAGTAAATAAATGACACTTGACAAATTGTTTATTATGAAACAAAGTATTATTATCTACAAAATACAAACAAGATTTATTCGTCCGAAATCCGCATGTGCTCCTAGCACGAATATATACGTTTCCTTATTTCATGAGACCACTGCATAGCGAAGGATCGTCATGGATCGTTCGTAGTTCAGAATTAGGGCATGCTGTCACAATGGAATTGTGAAGCTCTTCTAACTTCTGCAACGTTCTGAAATCTTGTTAAGAACACCCAAACTCTTTTGCCTTTTCTTAATCTTGGCAAGTTCGGAATAAACTGAGAATGAAACACAATCAAACCATACAACTCCATAAGACATAACAAGCAACTCCCCAGAGACATCCAACATTTTTGGAACAAAACGTATAACATAGTAGCGTTGATACTGTGATGCATGTTTATTTGCAAAAAGCAATATTATTTCCTCATTAAAGAATAATATTCATCCTGCTCTAACCGAGAAATAATGAACTCTGTTTTGAACCCATAAAAAACATAAAAAATTAGGCTATTTAAGAAAAATTTAAGCGTCTGCCTTGCATGGTCTTTCTTGTGCCTTTAAGTTTGTAAAGACCTATTAAATACTTGCATAATTTCGAACGTTCATATTTCAGGAAACAATGAGCTAAGACTTACATGTAAGATGTCTAAATCTACGCCATATCCCTTACAAACCCTAACGACAATTCGCTGAAATACAAGTTAGCCTGATATGTCATTAAGCAAACAAACGCTGGAGTAAATATTTGATATGCCGATTTTCGCTAATTTTAGACACATCCCAAAATATGCTCCCGATTTTGAACATTAATATCTCCGTGAATTTTTAAGTAAAATACAACTGTAATATATCAAAATCTAAGTTGGCCCTTCCTCTATTTAATGCAAGTTATTTCTGTTTGATAGCTTTAATTGTTTAGAAGTTATTATAAATCAAACCGGAGTACTTTTTTTTGGGACACCCGGTAGTCCCAAAAAATTGTGAATTTTCACGCTCAAAAGCAAATTGGAAAAAGTCACGTGATCGATATATTCGCTAGTGAAGATATGGAAAATATCTCGCTGTGTATTTTTCAGTATTTCACTCTCTACTATATAATAAATGTCTGTACAAGAAGTTTTTATTTGGGCTTTATATTTAGCACAGCTAAAATGTTATTAAATTTGCGCACTTATTGAGTAGTGCCATCAAGATCAGGATGATTTTCATGAAATTGTTCTTGCAGATTAATGCTACAACCATGACAAACAAGCAGCTTTTCCCAATTCTTAATCATGCAAAAAACATCATCTTTTCATGGTACATTTAACAATCTTCTTAAGGAGGCTCCCTACAGTTTCCAATATATGTCAGTGTTTTAAAATAAAACCTATTTAATTAATTTGAATCTAAAAAAATCTAATTTTTTCCACAAGCCATTGTTTCCTCTTATATAAAAGAGTAATTTTAACCAACAATCGCTACTCTTCACGCTACCATGACAACATGACGTCACCATCTATATGGCCTATATCAACCAAAAAAGCCGTCTTAGCGGACAAATAACCACGGTGACCTACCTTTTTTATTGCAGAAAATACATTGTTATGAAGTTTTGAATCTTTTTTGAAAGTTATTTGAAAATCGCCAGTGTAGTTTTCGAGAAACTGAATTTCAGCCTTTCCAAAGGCTAAAATGCAATCTTAAAGGCTGAAATTCAGTTTCTCGAAAACTACACTGGCGATTTTCAAATAACTTTCAAAAAAGTTCAAAACTTCATGACAATGTATTTTCTGCAATAAAAAGGTAGGTCACCGTGGTTATTTGTCCGCTAAGACGGCTTTTTTGGTTGATATAGGCCATATAGATGGTGATGTCATGTTGTCATGGCAACGTGAAGAGTAGCGATTGTGGGTTAAAATTACTCTTTTACGTAAGAGGAAACAATGGCTTGTGCAAAAAATTAGTTTTTTTTTAGATTCAAATTAATTAAATAGGTTTTAGTTTAAAACACTGACATATATTGGAAACTGTAGGGAGCCTCCTTAAGAGCCCCCACATTATTTTCGCGATGTGACGCTCCCCATATACCGAGTGCCTTTTTCGCCATGCCCTTTCCTCGTGTTGCCATAAATTCTTGATTGACGTAGCCTCATTCTGGGTGAACCCTATAAAGCGCTTTGAAGTGGTTTTTTGCTAAGATAATGAAAGTCCAGTAGATGGCAAATTGCTTGGAAGCAACCGTTTTCGATTTGAGCAATGGGCCACTTGTCACGGTCCTATGGCAGATCTGTTTCGTCTTTCATTATGCAACGTTGGCGTATTTTATCGCTCGGACAATTGGACTCTGTAGCTCAGTTGGTTGGAGCACTTACATCTTGTCGTTTATTAGATACAAATGGTTCAAGACATGGAAACAGGAACTCAAAATTAAGTAAACATATACGACGATTGGTATGGAAAAGGGGCCCTGATACCAATGAAAATGAAAGGCAAAGAAGTGTAGTTTCAAGTATAAATGCAGGCTTTTCCGGTTCGTGGCCACTCGTCTTCCCTGCAGCTTTAAATTAACCGCAAATTAATGTATATAATAAGGTGATACCAATGTAAGGTACATATATGATATAATGATTTTTCTGTGTTGGTGTAATGTTCTCAGGTGAATATGATGCTTGTGTGGATATACACTCAGGGTAACATCACAAGCATCATATATAATATATATGGTTAAATATCAAGGATTTTGGGCATCTCATCCAATACTAAATGTTGGAGAGTTTTTGTATAAAGCAGTTGGTTAATAATAATAGATCGCTGCACCGGAATCGCAGGTTCGATTCCTGCCAGAGGGCCTGTAGTTGCATTTTCCCTAGCTGTTCTTGGTTAGGTCTTAATAAATGTATAAAAATTTACACTCGATATTTTCATCAACATTTAGTATCGAGTGAGATGCCCAAAATTCTGATATTTACCCAAAAGTTGAAATACCTGCTTGAGGTTTGACTGTTGTTTCAAAAACTGCAGGATGACTTTTATCTTTAGATTCTTCCAAAACTGAGCTGCTTTTATAGATTTCTTTCCGTCTAGCGTCCATTTCTTGACTTGCCTTCCCTGTATCTGGGGGTTCCTTTTCTTCCGATGCGACTGCAATTATAAACTGCGGTTCTCCACCTGAAACAAATTAAAGTAAAGTAAGCAAAAATAAAGTAATTTTCATTATCCCATACCTGTGTTAAAAGCGGCTTTCTGATTGGTTTAGAGCAGGTGAGTTTGTCGTCGAGCTCACCTGTTTTTTTCCGAACTCACCTGCTTTTTGCCCGAACTCACCCGCGAAACTGCTTACGTTGCAATAACAAATATAAACAAATATGGCGGACACGATTTAGCCGCCATAAACCACAACTTTAAAGAACTTTTTTCGGTGACTAACCTACTGAGACTGAAGAAAAACCGGGAAACTTCCAGCCACCCTCGGTGCGTCCAATCCCGGACTCGCCTCCCTGCAAGCACGTTTGTTATAGAACCATCCTCAGAGATACGAAAAGCCAGTTTCATATTATCCTGACACTGCAATCGACCAACGCAAAATTCGTTGGCTCGAGCGGGATTTGAACTCGCATCTTCGGGTATCTAGACCGCCGCCAATCTCGTACCCAGAGCCATCGTTGGACCGCCGCTCTACCCATTGAGCTATCGAGTCAACGGGGATTGGTAGCGAGTCTTATCCAATTTAAGTGCACGAAATATTTTCGTGACGACTTAACGCTTGTCTTAGAGGACGCGCAGTGTTTCAAGTAATTAGAGACCTTACGATTTTAGGACGGCAACGCGACGACGACGGCCAAAACAAACTCCTTCAACTGATAAATGGTAGTAAATATAGTTCGTGGTATATTATCAATCGTATGAATTTAATACAGTCTTAGAAGTTGAAGACATGGGTTTTATGGTTGGGAAGAGTTCTGCTAAACCCAGTTTGAAGTTGCACTTGTTGTGTCTTGGAATGCAGCCGTTGTATCAACACGTGAAAATCTGGGATTTGGCGTTGTAAACAGAGCGAGGACAATGTCTAAATAATTCATATATTGTAATTACTCAATTCTTTTCAATGATCTATTGTATTGGTAGCCGTTGCCGTCGCGTTGCCGTCCTAAAATCGTAAGGTCTCTAATATATGAACAACGAGAGCGAGTGTTTCACCGGGATATCGAGAAAACAATGTATGAAAACACGAGGGCGAAGCGCGGAGTGTTTTCATACATTGTTTTCGAGTGTTTGGATATCCCGGTGAGACACGAGCTCGAATGTTTTCGTTTGCTGATTTGAATAGAATTCTTAACCAAGCATAACGTAATTAGGAATTCTATTTAAGTAATTTGCATGCGTAATTAAGGTATTTGATGAAGTGACTTTCATCAAGTATCCAAATGGCATCTTGTGATCAAATAGGGTGATTATCATTGGCTGAATTGCTCATGAATTATTAATGAATTTGAGAATTATATTTCAGAACCATCCTCAGAGACTGGCGAAAAGCCAGTTTCATTTTATTCTGACACTGCAATCGACCAACGAAAAATTCGTTGGTCGAGCGGGATTTGAACTCGCATCTTCGGGTATCCAGACCGCCGCTCTACCCGTTCAAATCCCGCTCGAGCCAACGAATTTTTCGTTGGTCGATTGCAGTGTCAGAATAATATGAAAAAGTAAAGTAAGCTTTACATTATTAAGACTTAAGAGGATAATACTGTTGCCATTTTTAACAGTTCAAAAACGCCAGGCACTATACTATTAGCTGTAAAATTCGCAGGGACATAGCGAACCGAGTGAATGCCCTTTCTGTCTCACATTACTGGCGTCAATTAAACCGAATTGTTTTACCTTTTTGCGAGTAAACGTTTACTGTAATGTTGTCTCCAATAAGAACATATTCGCAATAATTTGTATCAACATGATAGGTCATCTTTGAATCTTTATTCTCTGCCATAATTTCTGCCGAGATTTAATGCGACTCCCAACCTTTGTCACTGATTTCTAGCTGAAGACAACCGAATGTATAAATATTGAGAATATTGAGAATTAAATAGTATTAATAAATGTCGATTAATTAAATATTAAGAATTAAATATTAGTTTGAGCAAAATATAGCTCAATCAACGTTTGTATACGTATATTTAACTTTGAAAAGTGAATTTGAAAAGCGAAAGACTTCAATTTATTTCTGACGACGCATGCATGTCTGACTGAAAAAAATTCACATTGGTGTGATATTTCAAATATACACCACTTCTAAGCTACCTTATCCTTATTGTTGTACACTATGTTGAATAGTAAAGCAATTGCATTGCATTAAATGTAAGAAAAACGTTACCACTTTTAACAGCACTTATATACATGTTAAAATTGAAACTGCAATAATGAATGTACGAGAAATGATCGCAGACAAATATGAAAAGAACATTTCTTAAGGTGGCTCGATACAGTTTTCAAAAATTCAGGTGTTCAACACTTCGACATGTTCAAACTACGCATTTTTAGGATTTATTCAGCAGATATTGGAGTTTTTATATATTTTGATAACTCTACTTTCAAATTTTATTAGTTTTAGTAACAGATAGTTCGTTGCTATGACGACATACGTGTACGAAATTCACTCCAAAATGGTCTATCGCCTCGTATAGTTGGAAAAGAAGCACGGTGACCCCCAATTTTTTTTCGTGCATTATTTTACTTGGACGAAAAGCTAACAATTAACAAAATATAAAAAAATTCTGTAATGCCATTTCTTGGGAAAATGCGAAAATGTCATATTCTTCGGTAAAATTTTTTTGGCATTACAGAATTTTTTTATTTTTTGTATAATGAAAGTTTTTAGCGGTGCAATGCAGCATGCAAAATTTGAACATAGGTCACCAGACAAAATAAAGAGATATAGCGCATTGTTTTTCTAAAATGGAAAATTCTAATGACGTCAGCAATTGATATAAAACGCTATAGAACACGCGCAATGGCGTGATATGGCGCGAGCAACTGCTCACGTCAGGTCATTTTGGAAGTTCTTTCATTTTGTTAATCAGTTTCCGCGACTTGCGCGTTAAAATGGTCACCCGGCAGTGAGTTCGCGATTCTTGAGCAGGGTTCTTGTGATAACTATATCGAGCCACCTTTTTTCATGAAACAGATATAAATACGAATCAGAGTTCTAAATATTTTATACAACTACATACCTTGACGTCGAAAATTTTTTCTGTGGAATTTGTCGTGTAAAACATGTGTTTTCTTTCTGTATGCAAGCATGCAGTATTTTAAAATATTCTTGAAGCTGTAATAAATGTTATGCTTCAATGATGCAATGCAGGCTATTTTTCAAATACGTCACACATTCAGTAGAACCCCGCTATCTCGAACTGCCAAGGGAAACGAAAACAATTTCGAGATCGCGGGGTTCGCCGTATAACCGAGTCCGTCTCAAATTACAAAATAATTTACAAATGTATAATAAAGAACAATTATTGAATTCGGTTTTTTGCGATATGCAAAATTATCAAGGTCTCGGTAAGCGTTATCAGCCTCGCCTTCGCTTACCTCGACCTTGATTATGGACCATTTGCATTATAGACTAAATTTTGATCTAGACAAAAATTTCATCACAGCTTGAAAGAGCATCACAAAATTAGTAAATTCCAAAGTTTCGTTGCGAAATGTTGTAAAATGCGGATAATATAGCCATGCGAAGTTTGCCGTTTTTCAGTCATTTTGTATTACGCAGGGGAAATTGACAGCCCAATCGAGTGTTGGGGCATCAATTTCCCATTTGTAATACAAAATGACTGAAAATTGCAAATTTCGCAAGGCTATATAATCCGCATTTTACAACATTTCGCAACGAAACTTTGGAATATTACTAATTTTCTGATGCTCTTTCAAGCTGTGATGAAATTTTTGTCTAGATCAAAATTTAGGCTATAATGCAATTGGTCCATTCCGCATATCACAAAAACCTCATCCAATAATTGTTAATTATTATATAGTAGAGAGTGAGATACTGAAAAATACACAGTGAGATATTTTCCATATCTTCACTAGTGAAGATATCGATCACGTGACTTTTTCCAATTTGCTTTTGAGCATGAAATTTCACAATTTTTTGCTTGGGACTATATAATAAACAGAACATTACACGCTAGGTCGGACAGAATGTCCGGTGGTTTCCTCACTACGTCGGACAATTTTACGAATGAATTGGACAACGTCCGTGACCGACCGATATTATATTTAAGGCCTGAATGAGTAAACATATGTCTATGAGTAAAGAGGTGTAACCGTTGTTTACGCAAAGATATTCTTGTTAGTATTGATACTTTGTATTGGCCTCCTGTCTGGGTTTTATGTGAAGAGCAAGGCGTATTGGGCATTTCAGCAGGGTCAACAGATATACTGATGATATTTTCTGTGTTGGTGTAATGTACTCAGGTGAATAAGATGCTTGTGATGTTACTCTGAGTGTATATCCACACCGGGCAGGCTTGAAAAATATGCCTGGCCACGGTGGGAATCGAACCTACGACCTTTGGAATACTACCCCAATGCTCTGCCAACTGAGCGAAGCGACCGACCGCGTAGCTCAATTGGCACCGACATGACCGCGTAGCTCAGTTGGCAGAGCATTGGGCTAGTATTCCAAAGGTCGTAGGTTCCATTCCCACTGTTGCCAGGCATATTTTTCAAGCCTGCCCGGTGTGGATATACACTCAGAGTAACATCACAAGCAAGATATACTGATGCCACGCCAACGATCACGTTTCGATGATCGTCAATAAAACTGTGTTGCTTTGACATGTATGATAAGTTAGTAAATCGGATTTTACATACACATGCATGCACAATTTCTTGTAGCATAGAATATAGGTTTTGGTGTTCACAATTTAAAAAAAAAAAATCATTTTAACTTCAGGAAACTTTAAACAGAATAAAGTGGTTGGCGATAATTATGGATGAGGTGCACCATCTGAAGGATCCAAAGAGGGCGGTTACTATTGCTTCAAAATCCTTAAAAGTGAAATGCAGGTAAATACAGTTTTCTTTGACGTGGGTCTAAACGTTCACGAGAGTTCACAATCCCGAAATTGCTTCTAATAAATTTATATCGTAAAACGTGCTGGATGGACTCACTATTAACTGGGACGATCTCTACTGCTGTCTCAAAGCAGTTGTCAGACGGGCTGAAATCATATTGCTACGTGGACCGAACCGACTGAAATCTATTGAAGCCTGGACAAATTTGGAGCAGGAATATTTTTACATCGGTCTAAAGTTTGAGAAAAACGCTGAAAGTACCCAACTGCATGCATGCATGCAAGATTAATCTGATTGAATGTGGATTGCTTCTTGAATACAGACGAAGGAGACTAAACGATTTCCCACCCAGTCTTGCGTAAACACGCTGTCTAATTTCGCCTTCTTCCCAGGGGCGGATCTAGCATCATCTGCAAGGAGGGGTGCAGGTTTTCCATGGGTGTGGTGCATGAAGGAGCCTTATTGCCCATGCACTCTCCTCTGCGGTCTATAACGCTACTATCCCAACATTTCCATTATTTGAGATAGCCTGGTAGAGAATCTGGACTGGACAGTTGCTGTAGCACAGTACAGTAAAATACTAAAAGTCCTTAAAGGGATATGGCAATATAAATTCAGTTTGTCTTATTTGAAAGAACATTTAAAATGATATATAAACTTCCTTTACAATTATTCCGTATCTTGCTTGGTTTTCGAAATAAATCGACTTATTTTGATCAAAAGCAGCGTGCATTCCGCCATCTTGGATATGCATTCGATATGCATACGTCACAAGTAGGGTAAAAAGCGACATTTTTATCTTGCAAACCACATGTCATTATCATCATTATGAAACTCGATTTTCGGAAGTCTTTTTAGTACTCAATTAACTCACAGCATTTTAAGAAACTTTTCGAAGAAATTTACATGTAGTCCCACATGAAGAAGTTTTAAAAAGTTTACCCTGCTTGTGACGTCATCAAAAACTCAGTTAATTAGGTCAATTATAATACCAAGATGGCGGACTGCACACTGTTTTTGGTAAAAATATTTCGAAAACCAAGCAAGGTACGAAATAAGACAAGGTTAATTTTTATTGCCATATCCTTTAACAACTTCGACATGTTTACATCTTTAACCATTTACTGTAACTAAAGCATTCTGAGTATTTTCTCGTGAGCTCACACATCAATTAAATCGTTTCAAAAAATCGACACGCGCTAACAGTAGAAGTTCTGCTAATCGCTATTCGAAAAGCAGAAAATGTATGGTCAAGCATATTTTTAGGGTGGTGCTGGACTTCTCTAGGGGGGTGGTAGACACCACTAGGTGGGGTGCGCACTCCCCTGCACCCCCAGGTAGATCCGCCCCTGCTTCTTATTGTACTTTGTCCTTGTCCATCCTCCAGGGCTTCTCGGCTGCCTTATGGCAACGTAAGGTAGCCGAGAAGCCCTGGGAACGAGGATGGTCCTTGCCCATGTAAACGAGGACAATACACGACTGCACCTCCAATAGTTCCATATGTTATTATTTCATACAGTTTCTTATCGTTGACTGCATGAGCTTAACCTTGGAGAACCAGAGAGAAAACCTCTCGACCCATGGTAGTACAGTAACAGTATACCGGGTGTCCCAAAAAAAAGTACTCCTGTTTGATTCGTAATAACTTCTAAACAAGTAAAGCTTTTTTAAAGAAATAACTTGCATTAAATAGAGGAAGGACTAACTTAGATTTTGATATATTATAGTTGTATTTAACTTAAAAATTCACGGAGATATTAATCTTTAAAATCGGGAGCATATTTCTGGATGTGTCTGAAATATGCAAAAAACGGCGTATCAAATATTAATCAAGATTTGCCCGACTGAAACATGCACGATTACCAGTAAATAAATGACACTTGACAAATTGTTTATTATGAAACAAAGTATTATTATATCTACAAAATACAAGCAAGATTTATTCGTCCGAAATTCGCGTGTGTTCCTAGCACGAATACGTTTCCTTATTTCATGAGACCACTGCATCTCAAAGGATCGTTCGTAGTTCTGAATTAGCGCCTGCCTTCCATGTACTTTTTAGTTTGTGAAGACCTAATATTAAATACTTGCATAATTTCGAACGTTCATATTTCAGGAAACAATGAGCTAAGACTTACATGTAAGATGTCTAAATCTACGCCATATCCCTTACAAACCCTAACGATAATTCGCTGAAATACAAGTTAGCCTGATATGTCATTAAGCAAACAAACGCTGGAGTTAATATTTGATATGCCGATTTTCGCTAATTTTAGACACGTCCCAAAATATGCTCCCGATTTTGAACATTAATATCTCCGTGAATTTTTAAGTAAAATACAACTGTAATATATCAAAATCTAAGTTAGTCCTTCCTCTATTTAATGCAAGTTATTTCTCTTTAAAAGCTTTACTTGCATGTTTAGAAGTTATTACGAATCAAACAGGAGTACTTTTTTGGGGGACACCCGGTACAGTAAACGCACACTATTCCTCTAAATATTATTTATATTATAACCTTTGCTTTAAACTTTATTTTCAGGATAGGTTTAACAGGGACACCTTTACAAAACAGATTGTTAGATTTCTGGTCAGTACTTGACTGGGCAAATCCCGGTTGTTTGGGAGATAAAGAAGATTTTACCTATGACTTTGGTAGACCTATTATGCAAGGACAACGATTTGATGGCACAAAGCGAGAGCTTGCCACTGGAAGAAAAAGTAATGGTTGATTAATTTTATTTAATTCCTTATATTCTAAAATGAACATCGCAAATGTTGTTAGATGTGTTTTTACACTAGATACAGTTGGTATGGATGATAGTGTACGAACCAATGCACAATTATATAGAGGTTCAGATTTAACTTCCACTGCCGCTTCTTCTCACGGCTTAATACCCTTTTGATTGGTTACAGTAGTCGTGTAGATTAAACCCTTTTGATTGGTTGCGGTAGTGGAAGTCAAAATCTGAACCTCTCTAATATCGGCGACCGGTGCCCATACAAAACCATGCCTGGACAGAAAAATATCCCACAGTAGGTGTGATTCGATGATGCTCAGAATTATGTAAGGCAGCTCTAGATACAGTAGTACTCAGTGTGAGTGAACTCAGAGTCAGTCAACGCTCTCGCGGGTTTCTTCTGGGCACTCCACTCGGTTTCCTCCCACAGAGAATATTGACAGGATGGGTGAAGATACACAGAAGCGGATTCACGATCCTGTCAACATTAGCTGCATTTGGAATTCAAATACATACAGTGTATGTCGTGATTTCATAAAAAAAAATAAGATAAAGGATATTATTACGTTTTCGTCCTAGAATTTTACATTGTAGGAGTAGGAGAACAAAATTATTTCACTTTAACCTTGTATAAAAGACGAAATTTAATGCTCATTTATTCTGCTAGAAACACAGGAGTTTCAATCAATGATAGATGATTGGTGTTTACGAAGGACAAAGGCTTTAATTGCAGATCAACTACCACAGAAAGGTAATGGCGGATGCACGCGTTTAGTGCATTAATATATGTTTCGTTACATTACATTACATTACACTGATTACAGCACTAGTACTGTATGTTCCAGGGCTCGAATTTTATCGCGGCAATTGCCGTAGAGGGAGAACAAAATGCCGTGGATCATTGCGGCAACGACGGCAATTTTTTGCCGTATAGTGCAATTTTTATACTATTCACTGTGCATTACTACTTTGATACTTGAATTCAGATGTTGATCAAATCATGCGTAAATCACCATTTTTGTCTCAGTTTTCTTCGAAAAAAAAACACTAAAGAAATACGTCAAGACATGTTTCTATCTTGTCAAAAATCCAAAGTAACAATAAAATTAAAGTTTTATTACAGTAATTTGAAAAACTGATGCCTTGGAAACTGCCAAAATTGCCGTAGACAGCTGTTACGTTCCACGGCAATTTTTAACGCCATTGCCGTCGATTGATTTCAGGGAAATTCGAGGCCTGGTATGTTCATTACATTGCAGTACAGTACAATGAGTACATATAAAGGCCGTTTTCCACTTCAAGCGTACCGTAACCGAAACGTGTAAAAAAATTAAATTTCAAAATGTTGTGAATGTTGATTGATTAATTAATACTTCCGTAGTACGCTAAAAATTTAATTTTGTGGGACATTTTCCGTAGTACGCTAAAAGTTTAATTTTGATATTCATTGCTTTTGTGGGACATTGCTTTGATATTCATTGCTTTTGTGGGACATTGATCGTGTTCATTGCTTTTGTGGGACTTTTCCCACTTTATTTCAGGCTACGAACGGTACTTTTCCCGAAAAACATAAATATTTTGCCTGCCCCCCTCGCAAAGCCTTGGGCCCAGGGAAAATTGCTTTACCTTCGATTTTTCTGCCAACCTCAAAAAGTTTCTGGGACCAATGGTTCCGTGGTCCGCTACACGGCAAAAAAACGCTCAGGTTGATGCAATCATGATGAAAACAGGATTGAACAATGTTTTGCTGCCCACATTGTTCATAGCTGTCAACAATATTGAACAATATTGTTACACCCGATTCAGGCTCAACAGCATTGTTCAACATTGTTGACAAGTGTGAACAACGTGGGCAGCAAAACATTGTTCAGTCCTGTTGAGCAACGGGCTCGGCGTTTTTTGCCGTGTATATTATGTAGCCCTTGTACAGTAGTGCCGATAACCAGACAGCTGCGGATGGAAGCATATAACGTCGACGTTTTGAGTTAGTAGAAGGGCCGAGAAATGGCCTTAGCTCAAAACGTCGAAGTTCTGGTTGTATACATTAGAGATCTTACGATTTAGGACGGCAACGGCTACCAATACAATAAATCATTGAAAAGAATTGAATAATTACAATATATGAATAATTTAGACATTGTCCTCGCTCTGTTTACAACGCCAAATCACAGATTTTCACGTCTTGATACAACGGCTGCATTTCAAGCCACAACAAGTGCAACTTCAAACTGGGTTCAGCAGAACTCTTCCCAAACATAAAATCCATGTCTTCAACTTCTAAGACTGTATTAAATTCATACGATTGATAATATACCACGAATTATCTTTACTACCATTTATTTGAAGGAGTTTGTTCTGGCCGTCGTCATCGCGTTGCCGTCCTAAAATCGTAAGGTCTTTAGTATCTCAATCCGCAGTTGTCTTTTTACAATAATACTATAGTGTTTTATTAACATTGCATGGGACCAGAGGTTTGTGTCCGCTTAAAACAGATGTGCGCTTACGACTGTACACAGAAAGATCCAGACTCGAACATGATTTCATCCGTTTAGGGCTCTGCGGTCACGACACTTGCGACCAAATGGAAACCAGGCTAGAAAATATTTCCTTCCATGTGTGAAGTTTCGAATCTCCCAATATCCACTAGGACTGCAATATACTGTGTAGTTTTAGGTAAACCAAATGTCCGGAGGGAGGAAATTACATTGTAAGATATGGTCGTGTGTGTTTTTAGACCAGAAAGTTGTATTTTGCCCCTTGTCTAAAGTACAAGAAGATATATACAAGACACTCTTGCAGACGAATGATGTACAGTTGGTGTTGAAGCAGGGTGAACCTTGTGACTGTAGAAGTGAATTAACTCGCGGGAAATGCTGCTATGCGGTATGTTGTAATACGAAATGTCGAGATATTTATCCATACTTTATACTGGCATCACCCACTGACCCACTAAACGTATACAAGATCTTGTGGTTGGTGTAGCTCAGTTGGTTAGAGCGCTGCACCGGAATCGCAGCACCGCAGGTTCGATTCCTGCCATGCAGGGGGCCTATAGTTTCATTTTTGATTAATCAAAAATCTTCAAAATGTTAGTTTTTTTATTTCGTCCATTCCCAGGTCATTCACTCATTCCCCGTTCCCTTCCTCTATTCCCCGTTCCCTTCCTCTATTCCCCGTTCCCTTCCTCTATTCCCCGTTCCCTTCCTCTATTCCCCGTTCCCTTCCTCTATTCCCCGTTTTAAAGGTAGCCTGGTTAGGTCTAAAATTGTATATAATCTTCCCGTCGAAATTTCCATCAGTACAAAAACAATTCAACTGTAACACGAAATGCCGTGGTAGTGCGTGGTCGTACGCTTTATAACTAAGTCGGCGTACGTTTCGTTGACGTTTACGCGATTTCCTAATTAAAGTAGTTTTTTACCCATGTTCTCTGAGTTTTCTAAGTATACTAATGAAGATGAGTTTTATCAGATATAAAGTCACTCCACGTGACATATTATGACTGACATGATTTGCCACAAGGTTTATGAATTATTAATGAGTATTTTAAACATATATAACGTGAAATTTTCAACTACTAATTTAAGCATTGCATGAGCATTTCAATTTTGGGGTTGTAAATAGCGAGATGGTAAATTGATGACGCTAAATTGGAACGGAGGATGTTTTAACATCCTAAATTGGAACGGGGGATTTTTTTTTAATTGGAACGGAGGTGTTTTTGAGGATGTTTTAATCCTTCTTATACTTAAAAGTATAAGAACGATTTTCAAGTAAATAACTTATTGTAAGTTACTTATCGTACGCTTTCCTAGATAGTTGGCGTACGCCAAGCTGTTTTTGGCGTACAATCGTACGTCCGTACAACGTTCGTACGATTGCACGCCTATTTTAACCCTTTGTTTAGGTATATATCGTATGCATGCATGGGACTTATAGTAAGAGGTGGACCATATCTAATATATTTAGGTGGAATATATCGTATGGGACCTTGTAATAAAGAGTGAACCATATATAAATTATATAGCTATTTCTCTGGAATAAATTACTGCAGTTCTTGGCACAAAAGTGGGAAATGCTAAACATTCAGTTCTGACAATTATTGATCGGAGAGGTTAAAATCCAACAAGAAACAGTTCGTGTATATATCTGAGCATTTATAGTAAAATAAAGGCTGCAGAATAATAATGATTTATTGGCAATACATCCACAGAGTGGCTCTTTGCTTACCTAAATATACAAATATAATAAAATTATATACAAATTCTACAAACTATATACGAATAGTACTGCAATATAACTGTTAAACAAGGTTTTTACATATAAAATTATTATTGTATTAAAAGTTAAAACAAAATATTTATAATTATGTAACTATAATGGGATAATTTCAAAGTTTAGCCACGTCTTGACCATGCTTTCAAGACTAAGAAATTCTTGGCCTCTTTACAAGGTACTCGATAGTCCCTGCAGTTCCTATTTTCTATAGGTAAATTATTAAAAAGATGTGCTGACTGGTCCTAGCTGTAATGTGTTCTTAATTAGAGGAATTTGAATTTGACAGCTACAGTATACTTCTCGATCTAAGAACTCGAGAATGTTCCACCGAGAATGTTATTTTATTATCCATGCTAATAGACAACGTCAACTAAGAAGATTTTATGATATGTAGCTGAAATTTCTGCTCGAAAAATGATCGCTGTATAACAGTATTGGCGCGAGAAGATCTACCCTACCTGTTGTTGCTTACATATTAATAATTTCGTTTCATTAAAATATGTTTTTCGTTCTAACTGAAGGTGAATGAAGAAGGATCAAACATGAAGAAACTGTTATTACAATGTCTAAGACTATTTCTAAAGATTTCAAATCATGCAGCCTTAGTTCTTCCTCATGTGAAACAGACTGACGATCAACGTAAACGGGTAGGTGCGTGGTTACTTTACCATGATTCTCTCCTATATGTCCCTGCAGGTTATCGAAGTATGAGATGGATTTACAGGCAGATTCTTTTTTCAAATATTTTCTTTACAATCTTTGAATCTAAGTTACTCCCAAAGCTGTCACTAGCTCCGGCCTTTATCATTAGTGAAGTCTCAAGTCCTCCATGCCCCCCTTCTACGTTTCTAAAACACTGCAATATGAACCGTGTTCATGCTATGTTGATTCTTGAAATCTCTGCCAGAGGGCATGTGGTTGAATTTTTCGCAGCTTCTCCGGGTCAGGTCTAAAAAATATATAGACAGTTGTTCGTTGTAGCTTCCCGACGAACGGTCTTCGCTCGAAACGTAGAAGTTCTGCTTGTATTTTTCAGGTATAATTGTTGTATATCTCTCAATCCGCAGCTGTATGGTTATCTATCGTCGATATATCATATAATTTTCGCTCGAAATTTACAAAAACCTTTAAACTCTCAATCTCTTCCCCTTTCTCAGAGAAAACCACCGCTGCTCAGCCTTACAGTATGCTTGAATAACATTCAGCATGAACATTTGCATTTTCAATTTCAACATTTCTTTTATTTTCTAGGCCAAAGTGATATGCGAGAAAGTGTTTGCGGTACATCCAGAGTTTGAGGCGGCCAGCAAATCACCCTCGTTTGAGTTGTTTTCTGACAGCAATTTTTGTGGAAAGATGAAGGTTTTAGACAAATTATTAAAATTGTTTCAACAAGAAAAGGATAAAGTGTTACTATTTTCGTATTCTACGCAAGTAAGTATAGTGTTCCAATATTTCATTGCTGTAACTATTGTATTGCTCCATATTAACAATCACGATTTCAATATGTACAGGGATTTCTTACCCTATAGATTATTGCTAATCCTCATATTAATCCTAACCCTAACCTAATTCCAACTCTGAATTTTACTCCAATCCTAACCTAACGTAAAACTGTGTACCAATGTTATTGTGACGTCATCATCATTTTTAAGTGAATTCAAAAGAAAAATCTCCACTTAATCTATTATACACTGTTAATTCAATATATTAGTCTTTATCAATTTAGTCGGCATCTAAATTTATGCAGAACATATTAAGTTGTAGGTTCGATATATTGTTCCTTAGTAATGATAACAAATAAATTAGAACAAGGATTCATTCTGATAACTGACGCTGACGTACCACCACTCGATTCACGATGTTTAGTTTAATCACCCATCAATATATTGTTCACGGTATATCGTATGTCTATCAAGAACCATTCTTGTTCATTTGTTACATTTTTCTATCATACAGTTACTGGATATGCTTGAGGCATACGCGATAAGTTGTGGCATGGTGTACCGACGTTTGGATGGCAAGACTCGTGGAGAACGAAGACTTGATGTAGTAAGAGATTTTAATACAAACCCAAGTATATTTCTGTTTCTTGTTTCAACCAAAGCTGGTGGTGTAGGTCTGAATTTGACTAGTGCAAATATTGTTATTGTATTTGATCCGAGTTGGAACCCTTCTGATGACCTACAGGCTGAAGACAGGTGAGAATACGTATATAGTTAAATCTTTTTAAGACAGGCAAATTCGGACCCTTCTTGCATTTCTTCGCATATATAAAGCCCATTTTAGAGTTGTGTGTCTTAAATGCGATTACACAATCTGTATTCAACCAGGCAAACGCCTGTTAATGCTTTGCAGGCTAACCTCAGGCTGGTGTTTGTATGATTAGCGTGACTAGGATGGGCCGAAAAATTAGATACAAACGGCCCACTCCATAAACGCAGAATCACACTACCAACATTTCTTTTAACCAAACATACTACAGTATGATTAAAGTTCAGTTGTAGCAATGCTTCGTTTCTTAGCAAATACTGAGGGCCTGCCGTGAAATGTTTTGATGGACCAAATGACAGGAAAATGTTCATTCTTCTTGATTGTGTATAGTCAGCACACCGCTCGCTAGCTTTTCGTTAGGTGTCCGCTAATTGTCCGCTGGCTGTTCACTAGCTGTTCGCAAGCTATCTTCTTGCTCTCTGGTATCTGTTCGCAAGATGTCTACTGTCTGTTCGAAAGCTCTCTAAGTACTAACTGTTTGTAAGCTGTTTACATATTGTTTGCAAGGGAGAGAGAGAGGGGGAGGGAGAGAGATACAGAGAGAGGTAGATACAGAGACGCAGATTCAGATACAGAGATACAGAGAGAGGTAGATACAGAGAGAGGTAGATACAGAGACACAGGGAGAGGTAGACGCAGAGAGATACAGACGCAGAGAGATACAGACGCAGAGAGATACAGACGCAGAGAGATACAGACGCAGAAAGATACAGACGCAGAGGGGGAGAGAGGGAGAGAGAGGTAGATACAGAGAGAGGTAGGTACGAGACGCAGATACAGAGATACAGAGAGAGGTAGATACAGAGAGAGGTAGATACAGAGACGCAGAGAGAAGTAGACGCAGAGAGAGGTAGACGCAGAGAGAGGTAGACGCAGAGAGATACAGACGCAGAGAGATACAGACGCAGAGAAATATTATTGAGAACTGGTACAACAATTGAAAACTGACATTTTCCATTTTTATCCTTCCTGGTGTTCACTACACTGTAAATGCGTAGAATTAGAGACCTACGCCTTTTATCAAGGTTAATTAATCTGCATCTGATCGAATCGGTTGCATCTATTTATGCATGCATGTATTTCTATTGAAAAACTTTGTTAAAATATCTGAAATAGTCATTTGAAAGGTATTAACCCAGTGAAAAAGCAATTTTTCCAATGTAACTTTCTGTCAATATATTAATATGTGTGCGTATTTACTACCAGTTTGAATTGATTTTATCTTGTTAGAGCATATCGTATTGGTCAGAGGAGAGATGTCAAAGTGTTTCGTTTGATCTCAGCTGGAACTGTGGAAGAAAATATGTACTTACGTCAGATTTATAAACAGGTTTGTTCCTTATATAATTAAGGCTGGTTTAGTGTGATTTACTATTGTAAAAATGTAATCCTCCTTCGAAGACATTGATAAAAGGACAAGTTTCCTTGGAAGACGTCACTATGTCCTTGGAAGACGTCACTATGTTCACGGATAAATTGGTGAAAATGACCTTTGAATTTTGTATAAACAGCCCTTGCGGGGCCGTTATTTTGGATGGCCATTACTTTCGAGAGGCTGCTACGGGTGTTGAAAGGCGTAAAAGTGAATATCAATTAAAAGTATTGAAAAATTTAGCTTGCATGACAGTACGATGACATTTCAGATCACGATTCATAACAAATTATTTGATTGCTACAAGCTACGCAACTTCACGTACCACTACTGCCATGGTACCACAACTGTACACGTGATATGAATTGGTCAATTTACATCTAATTGTTATGCAAGCTAGATTTGTATATTGAATGTAAACATAGGGTGATTTTTTCTGTGTTGGTGTTGTGTACTCAGGTGAATAATGTGATGTTATTCTGAGTGTATATCCACACCGGGCGAGCTGGAAAAATTTGCCCGGCCACGGTGGGAATCGAACCTACGACCTTTGGAATACTAGCCCAATGGCGGGAATCGAACCGTCCTGACCGCGTAGCTCAGTTGGCAGAGCATTGGGCTAGTATTCCAAAGGTCGTAGGTTCGATTCCCACCGTGGCCGGGCATATTTTTCCAGCTCGCCCGGTGTGGATATACACTCAGAGTAACATCACAAACATCATAGGGTGATTTGTTACTTACAGCATAGTAGTAAGACTAGTAATATCTGCCAGCAGCCAGGTATTAGCAATTTCAACATTCTAATGTTCAGTACAAGCTCTACAAGGTGAACATATCCTCTTGACTGTTTGGGAGATTATGTGGGGGAGAACTCACTACCGTAGGAAACAATTTTGTATTGGGGGGGTTGATTAGTCAGGGGGCGATTATTAGGTAATTATTTCCCTCTCAAACTTTACAGCTTATCACTAGTTTACAAATTATTGGGGCTGCAGCCTCTCCCGGTTGCTACGGCCCTGTGAACTAGCTGGTGTGTGATTATTACAAACAAGGATTTTCCAAAAATTAATGTTATTTTTTGTATTGTAGCAACTAGCAAATGTAGCTGTAGAAGGCAACAATGAACGACGTTATTTTACCGCAGTCGATGGAGAAAAAGACAAAAAAGGAGAGTTATTTGGGATTGAAAATCTCTTTGCACTCAGGAATGATGGCTGCTCTGTCTCGACTGACATATTTAAGAGGTCTGACAAAATTGAGAGAGGATTTCGAATGACGAAGTACGAGTTGCAGCCCAAAGAGAACGCTGGACAAACATTGGTATGCCTGTTTCTGATCGTGGCACTTTAAGAAAGGACTGTAGAATGATATAGAACTGTTGTTTATTTACGACTTTATATTTCTTTTTAAGATCGCCGAATATTCAGCTAGTCCCTCCGTGCAGTGTCTGGAAACACAAGAAGAGCAGAACAGTTATAATTTAGATGAAATAACTTCACAGTATATAGAAGATGAAACAACAAACATAGATTGTTTACACAACAAATCACCAGAAAAACAAAACCGTGTTGAGGTATCACACAATACTGAAGATAACTGTACGGATGATGGGAAACAAAAAACTAACTTCACTAAAATCTTGGATATTTCTCATGAAATTGAGAAACTCGATAAAAGTTTTGCACCATCACATGATAACGACAAACAGAAAAGACAGAAAAATAAACAGTAAGGAAATTGTCAAATTTAAAAATGTCGTTAGTTATCATAAGTAAAGACTCGCTTAAGCTCCAGCATTATTCGTAACTTTCATGGTTTATTTTCAGGGGTGCAAGTATTTCCAAAAGAAGACCAATTTCTAAAGATAGTCAAGTTAATCAGATACTAGGTATTATAGCACGTATAAGCTTTCCTGGTTTATTGGATGGGACTAACCTGAATAAGATTAACAACAAACACTTCAACATTTTGAGCTTCGTTCGAAACGTCAAGGTGTTTTAATCTTATGTTTGCGATGTTACTCTGAGTGCATATCCACACCGGGCGAGCGTGAAAAACATGCCCGGCCACGGTGGGATTCGAACCTACGACCTTTGGAATACTAGCTAATCGAACCGTCCTGACCGCGTAGCTCAGTTGGAAGAGCATTGGGCTAGTATTCCAAAGGTCGTAGGTTCGAATCCCACCGTGGCCGGGCATGTTTTTCAAGCTCGCCCGGTGTGGATATGCACTCAGAGTAACATCGCAAACATATTATTCACCTGAGTACACAACACCAACACAGAAAAATTAATGTTTTAATCTTTTTCAGATGGTGTAGACACCAACAAATGGACCCCCACATTTCGAATACCATCGACTTATACCTGTTATTTCAACACGAGTTAAATAACATTATGCAACCTCATTAAACTGTGTTAATTCATGTATATAGTCTCCAATTATTCGAACAATTTCAAGCTCCAATATGTCTGTTATGTATTCATTTTTGCTTATGTACACATGTAAAATTTCATTTCTTTGCGTAATTCAGAGGAGTGTGGCGTTCAACATACACATAGTAATAAGATGATCATTGGCACAAGTGAAGCTGAAAATGAGATGACGTCACGAGCAATGAAGGAAGTGTTTGATCTTGGTCAATATTCTCAGCAACCTGCCAACTGCTTTGCCGCTGCTGACCAGGTAGATACAGCTACGTTACAACACACGATCTTTCTAAATTTTACTCGAAACCATGCTATTACCTATACCTATCACATGCCTAAGGTCCTGTTTATATGGAAACGAACTAGTCGCCAGCGACCAGATCCCAGTTATTATAGTATAATAAATCTTTCAATTTATTAGATTATTTGTCGAAAAATCGACTACAATAACAACAAAAACAACCTTAAAACTCGCTAAAAAACGTTCGCAGTTCGTTCTAAAATCATGCGATTCTGTTTCTATGGCAACCGTCTCCTGATTGGCCGGCATATAATGCCCAAACAACATAAATTAATATAAATTAAAATGTTTAATACACTGCCCGGGTTGATCATTTAAGATGATCAACTCATAGATAGTCTTCTAAGTTCTTCTCCTCGCAACGCAGCCTGTCGTCGTGGTCGTCCGTCATTGTTAAACGGCTTCATCATTATTCAAATTGTTAACTTCAAGTTCCCTTGGTTGATCCGTTGTCACCTTATCTTCTTCTTCGGAGTCTGCAATCCCTTCGTCGGTCGATCTAATTTCCAATGGAACTAAATGTTGCATTACTCTTCTTAAACAGACTGGGTTTCTTTCGCCGTTTGCGACTTTGACACTCGCAGCTCGTATCTGACCATCCTTGCTTACCAACAGCTGGCTAGTTTCCAGAAAGCTCGTTTTGTAGAATCCGACTTCACCAAAACTATGTCTCCTACAGATATATTCGCTCGATTCGACTTCGATTTGGACTTACACGTAGCGTTTTCTCGTAAACTAAGCAAATACTCTTTTTTTCCATTGATCGGTAAATTGCTGAAGGACCTTTCTTTGGTGCTTTGCTCTTTTTGTCAGGACGTTACTGGTACTCATAATCTCGTAATGTTTACTGTTTGGCATCGGGGTAATTTGTCGACCGTTAATCAATTGAGATGGTGTCAGTCGATAAGATAAAGATTCTTCGTCGTCATAGACGTACGTAATTGGACGAGCGTTTATTACAGCTTCGATTTCGATAAGAACGGTATTTAGTTCTTCCAAAGTCAGCGTTGATCGACCAACAATCTTTTTTAGACATCGCTTTATTATCTTTATCAATCTCTCCCAGAAACCTCCCCACCATAGGGCCCTTTCCACGATGAATGTCCAAGTAATGCGGTTATTGGCAAGACGACTCAACACATCCTGTGAACGTGATGTTTGTATTTCTTTCGACGCTGATCGGAATGTTTTAGCATTGTCCGATATAAGCATAGACGGCACTCCTCGACGACTAGCAAAACGGCGAAATGCCATCAGAAATGATTGAACACTTAGACCCTGTGTCAGCTCCAAGTGGACTGCCCGGGTTGACGCACATGTAAACAAACAAACGAATACTTTGTTAGTTTCTTGGCATTGCGTTGAGACGTTCTCTTTCTCGCTAAGAACATATAAAGGTCCCGCGAAATCTAAGCCGGTAAATGTAACGGGCGGTTCCATTGATACTCTTTCCGTTGGCAAATCGGGCGCAGATGGAGGTTTGAATGCGATTCCTTCATGCTTTTGACAAATGATGCACTTCCTCAAATTTCTTTTAACGGCTTCTCGACCGCGTAATACCCAAAATCGTTCTCGCAGAGTAACCAGTGTCTGGCGAATTCCTGAATACATGATTTTCTTGTGCACATCTTGGATTATCAGATCGGAGAAATGATGTTTTGAAGGAAGTAAAACTGGGTTCTTTGAGGACTCAGGAATTGTGGCATTGTTAATTCTCCCTTTACATCGCAATATGTGTTGATCATCTAGAACCAGACCGAATTGGTTAACAATCACGACTGTTTTCGATAAAATCTAATTCACTTTCGAAGGATGACATTTGGACAGTTCGTATCCACATGGACTCGGCTTGACTAATCTCTGTTGCTGTAAGTGCTTTCACTTGTGAATTACTCGATCGTTCCTCTCGGCGTTTTTTCTTTAGGATATTGATAAATCGTAATACGTAGGCTGTAACCCGCAATAATCGTGTCAACGTGCTGTACGAATTACAGTCAATGGTCTTGTCTAGACGAGTCGTTGATGCTCGGTGGTTATCAGTAGTTGCAAACGAATGCGTAACGGTCTGAGGATTCTTTACAATTTCTTTAATTGCTTTCTCTGGAACACTTTTACTTGTTTGGATGTACGGGCCACGATTCTTCGGATTGGCAGACAAATTCGGGACCATTCCACCACACTGTGTTCGTTTCAAGCTCCTCTCCGTTCAAACCACGGGATGGTAAATCCGCAGGATTTTGCAAACCCGGACAAAATCTCCACTGTTCCTTGTCTGACAATTGGCGTATCTCTCGGACTCGATGTTCGACATACTGCTTCCAACTCTTAACATTCTGTATCCAATACAATGTAGTGATAGAGTCCACCCAATAGCCCAATAGAACGTTTCAGTGTCTAGCGGCAGAGACAAAGATTCCTTGATGGTTGCTACTAATCGTGCGAGGATAAGGGCTCCCAGTAGTTCCAGACGCGGAATACTTTGTTTCTTTGTGGGCGCGACCTTGGTTTTCGATGCCACAAACTTGACTGCTACGCGACCATCTTCGTAGGTTGACCTCAGATACACTACTGCGGCGAATGCTTGTTGAGACGCGTCACTAAATCCATAAAGTTGAATGTTCGTTGGCTTGGATCCCACATCAAAATAACATCTAGGTATCCTAACGTTGGACAGATGCTGCAAATCAGACACAAAGGAATTGAATCTTTCGCGTGAATCTCCATGTAACTCTTCATCCCAGTCGATTTTGTCACAGCAGAGTATCTGGAACATCGCTTTCAAGCGAATTGTGAATGGGCTAGGAAAGGGATCAAAGATCTTGGCTGTCAGGTTACCCAAAGGATCAAAGATCTTGGCTGTCAGGTTAAGCAATGCCCGCTTTGTGATTGGCAACGACTTGGCATAAGTGATCAAGTTCTCGAAATCAAAGAACAGTTCGTCAGAATGAGTGTTCCAATTTGATCCTAATACCTTTACTGATATCTCTCTGTTCGAATTATTGGGACCGATCGTAGACTTCGTGTATGATTCATCCTCGGTGGTAACTTTCTTTTCGGATTGGGTTAAGGGATCTTGATGGGTTTCGCACTTGTTGATGGATTCAAGAAGGGTGGAGGAATTTGAGTTCCACTTTCTTAAATTAAAACCTCCTTCGCTCATAATTTCTTTGGACCGTTTGTAGATATCGAACGTTTGGCTATCGTTGCTGCCTCCTGATAGGAGATCGTCCACATACAATGATTTCTTTATCAGTTCGATAAGTTCAGGGTACTGGTCTTGGTATGAATTCAAGTGTTGGTAAATAGTTGCACCGAGAATTGCTGGTGAGGGGCGAAGTCCGAATACTAAACGACAAAATCTCAAATGTTTTATCTTTGAATTCAGCCTTTCAGGGTCTTCTAGCCAGAGGAAGCGAAGCATATCTCGATCACTTGAGTCAATCCCCACCATGAGAAAAGCCTTTTCGATGTCGGCCGATATTGCAACTGGATTCCACCTGAACCTTACGAGGACATCGAAGAGATGTGGTATAAAATTTGGACCCGTTTCTAAGAATTCGTTTAGTGATCGTCCATCACTGTCAGACTTGGCAAACCCATCATAAACCACGCGTAGTTTCGTAGTATCTTTATCTTTGCGCACGACCGCATGATGAGGCATGTAATGTATTGGTCTTTCTTCCCCACTCGTTTGATTCTCTGCATTTCCCAATTCTTCCGGAGGAACTTCTTCAACCACTCCTTTCTCCAATTGATCGTTGATGGTGTTGTTATATTCTTCAAGAAGTTCTGGTTCCTTTCGTAATTTGTACTGTAGGGATTTCAGTCGATTGTAACAATAATTGTAATCTGTTGGGACATCCATTTGCTCTTCTTTCCATGGTAGCGACACTTCGTAGCGGTGGTCTTCGTATTTACATTCTTCAGAAACGACTTTGACAATTGATTAATGGAAGAATCTTCAGGTTCTCGGATTCCAATTGATTCATCTCCCAGAATTGTTTGAGCGTAGACTTTAACTCATCATCACCATTAGCTGAGCGGTTTCCAAATTCCCCAGATATGATCAGATTCGTCGTAAACGTGTCAACTGAATACGTTCCTGCACCATTGATAGGGCCAGACAGGAACCAGCCCAACTTACTACTTATGGCTGTAGGACCATAATCTCCTCGAATTGTCTCTCCAGTAACAAAGTTCCAATAGTTGTCTGATCCTATCAAAACATCAATAGAACCACTATCTTGGTCATCAAACGCATCAGCTAGGGCAAGCCCTTCGATATGTGGGTATGCATTAACTTCGACTTTGAGAGGCAATGATGAACATATGACTGGAAAACTTAAGGCAGCTACATCAACTCTTTCACCGTCCCCCTTTTGCAGGCTTAATTTGACTATATCACAGGTTTCCTTTCGAACGCGGTCATCACCAAACGTGTTTAAACGAAGGCTTTCCTTTTCCACAGATTTCAAACCCAGACGCGATTTCAAACTGTTCGTAATATATGTTCTTTGACTTCCAGTGTCAAATAAAACACGAACGGTGGTTGATCTCATACTGTCAGCGTTTGTAGCAATGCATTGAGCGGTTTGAAGTAGGACCGCTTTTCCCTTCCGTGATGTGCTCGTTGCACTTGTAGCTGTTGTGGTTTCAGCTGAATCACCAGGCTTTGTTTGGCTGTGGGTGTTTTCTTTCGTTGAATCTGCTGTTTTTTTGTGATTACTTCGAGAACAAATTGATTGATGATGTCGTTGACCACATTTTCGACATCCCCTTGAATTTTGGCACTCTTGTGACACGTGACCAATACGTAAACAAATAAAACAACGCTTGTCTCTCCGTAAAATATCCTTTCGATCTTGCAACTTCCAATTGTAAACTATTTGGGTGCTTTGACATCAATATCGGTATTAGTAAACTACCATATTGTTCTGGGGTAACCCCCAGTGCCTCTAACCCGCGTACATGAACTCGAATTTTATCATAAACAAACCGAATACACACGTAAAAACGCACAAGTTGTAACAAACCTGCAGCAGACTTGTAGCAAGGCTGTTCAAACAACTTGTCAACAGGATGTGTTCGCACTGTTTTTTTCCCAGAGTAGTAATAGGAAGAAAGTATAGGGAAAAAAAGGGGGGGGGGGAGTGTGAAGCAATTTTAAAATAGTATAAAAATATATGAAAATATGTACCGGAAAAATGTACTGAAAGGGTGATACTAGTACATATTGGACGGGGGGAGTTTTGCAAAGGCGTTACCCCATAAGTAATAAGGGTTGCGCATGCATGTACAGTACTTTCATTTTTACCTCCGCACACATTGCGCATGCGTAAGGGAGCTCCAAACCCAAAGCCTCGTCGACCGAACTGATTTGCGATTTGAATTTCGCGCGTATCCAATTGTGAAAAAGCGGAAGTGGTGTCATAGCGAAAGCGGAAGTGACGTCAGCATCGGAAGTGGTGGCGATTAACAATAATTTACCCAGCGAAGAGGAGAAAATAATTTAAAAATAAATTTTTTCCACCATTCCGCTGTAATTTATTGTTTTTTCTCCTTTCTTTTCTGCTTTTTCTCCTTCCTTTCATTACATACTAAAAAAAAAATGTAATTTCTGTGTAACCTCTTTCTCCAGAACATAAAAAATATGTCCTGGAGACGAAGTTAATACAAACAAGACGCCTACTCAGGCGTTCACTCCGCCTGCCGGCCTGCGGAGAAAATGGGGACAATGTAGGGTGCGACGGAAAAGTGAAGCCAAATATAAGCATTCAACGACAAGTTGGTGTTCATAGCATTCAAAGATAAGTTGGCATTCATGGCATTCAAGGTTAAGTTGGCATTCATGGCATTCAAAGTTAACTTGGCATTCAAAGGAGCAATGGCATTTACACACTTCTTTGAATTTTCATAAGAAAGTGCCATAACCTATAAGAGACAGAAATAGGATATTAATTCTGACACACCAATTCTGTTTGGACCATCATTGTAATAATAGAGGCCCAAAAAGCATGTTTGAGTGGCTTGGTAGGTATTCTGCCCAGAGTCCTAGTAGAGTTGAATTAAATACATTACACAACACATAGTATCTATTAACACACAAGGGCAGTAGAAAGAGCAAACCAAGCAAACCCAAGCTGGCTGTGAGTTCAAGAAGCTGACGTTTACAGTAACTTTAGGCTTTCATATAGCTATCATCGGAGACGTAGCAGGGGTTTTTAGTCAGAGGCCGAGAACTGAATCCCAAGAGGGGCCAAGGAATTTTCACTGTGCTTTATTTTATATGGTTATGTCTTAATTTTCCGGCACACTAAAGCCAGGGTGCGATAATTCGCGTACCAACGTACCGGAGGTACGCCAAATTTATGGTCTGGTACTTCTTTGTTTTTAGGCAAGTACCACGTAGGTACGCGGAAATTTGTTATTCACGTACTTACATTTTCCTTCTAGCAATAACTAGCCTGCCAAAGTATTCAAAACCGTGAAGAACTTTAGCTGTACATGCAAATTCCACGCATCCGACATATTTTGAGATGAAAAAAGCCAAAAGGTTATCTTTGTGCTTGATCAAAAAATTTATCGTCATTGTCAGACTGAAAAAAAAATCGCTCGGGTGAGATAATTTTATCGTTTTTGTTGTAGTGTCGACACCAACATATTTTTTTACCAATCATCGCGTGTTTACAAGTTATCGTATCGTTATCCTTGTGTAGTGTGACCTGGGCTTAATTGTCAATGCTATACCAAGGCCTAAAAATAAAATACCTGTGGTTCCAGTTTCCCGACCGACCAGTGGCGTGCTGGGTACTATTTTTCTGGGGGGGCAGTCGGCTGGCAACTAATATGCGCCCCTATAATATTACCCTTGATAAACGAGGGCCGAAGGCACGAGCCGAGCGCCACAGGTGCGAGGTTTGTCTAGGGTGGTCCGGGGGCATGCCCCCCCCCGGGAAAATTTTTGAATTTAGAGTCTCTGAAATGCCATTTCCTGGACTTTGGGGGAAGATCGAGCGCCACAGGTGCGAGGTTTGTCTAGGGTGGTCCGGGGGCATGCCCCCCGGGAAAATTTTTGAATTTAGAGTCTCTGAAATGCCATTTCCTGGACTTTGACAGAAATCTGATGGTCAGTAAACGGCATTACAACGTGTCGAAATTTGAAAATTGGTTAGAATTTAGTAGTAGCACTTAAATTGGGCAATGCTAACTACTTCCAGTAATTAATCTAATCCCAATTTTATTCTCTACTGATCTGAATTCATTTACAACTTACAGCTCTTTTATACAATAACACACGGACCCCACGCATATGCATGATTCCCGTGATCGCTTAATTCGAAGCCTGATCAATATTCCGGTAATGAGACATTGCGTGTGATCACTTATCATGTTTCTATATGAACGAGTGATTTCGTGTGAGTCGCGAGGTAGCAAATACGGTTAGACAAAATAGTCTGCAATTTAATATACTCACTCACTTTGTCGCCTATGCGCTTAGTCTGTTTATAAGTGTATAAACACATCTTTCCTTGGCGAAATTAGTGACTATATTTCTACGAATGCGTTTCTTCCCACCTACTTTCAAAATTCGGCGCGGGATCGGCGCCCCCTTTTCATTTTTGCGCCCCTCACAAATTGCCAGCTGGGGAGGCCGTGGCCCCCCGCCCCCCCCTGCCAGCACGCCACTGTGTGCTAAACATCCTTACTTGCAGCTGAGAGCTAAGCTGAATTGCGAAGGACACAGCTCAAAGTGATCGAGTCGAAGGCTTACTAAGGGCGCCTCTGGCAGCCACCTTATGACCCATGTCTGATCATGGAGCACAGCTATAGTAGAAGGGTTAGTTCTGTGGAAAGAAATCGGAGTACTCGGAGAAAACCCACGATTTTCGGTGGAGCGTTGACTGACTCTTTTCACACAAGTGTCATTAGTCCAACACCGCGGAAAAACGTCTGCGCATGCACCAAATTATGAAAATATGGCGGGTAATTTGAATATCAATTTCTAAAACAAAAACATGCTTATTAATTGGTCAAAAATTAGTAAAACAAACGAGAAAATATAGCAAATGGGTAGACTAGACATTAATTGAAAGCGTCCTGGCATTTAAAGTATGGAATGAAATATAATTCATGTAAAAAATTGTTGATTTTAACGGACACGACTTCGAAAATTTTTGCAAAATTATTCAAAACAAAAATTCAAACTAAAAAGTTAAGAAAACTCTCGAAAAGTTAAGCTTCTTAACCCACTCAAATTGTAGAATAAATCCTATAGTTTAATTATTGTGAACACGAATTTTTTTTTATATTTGGCGACATAGTTTTTTTTAAAGAAATGTATCTCAAACGAAAATTCGGAAATTGTCGTTGCTTAGTTGATAAACAAAATATTTCAGACGATAAATTTGTCAACAATCATCTTTAGTTCATGTTCTTGTACAATACAATTTCTTGAACCATGTCATTCTAAAAACTAGGAATAAATACAGCCAGAAGGTTCAAGAAATTGTATTGTACAAGAACATGAACTAAAGGTGATTGTTGACAAATTTATCATCTGAAACATTTTGTTCATCAACTAAGCAACGACAATTTCCGAATTTTCGTTTGAGATACATTTCTTTAAAAAAAAACTGTGTCGCCAAATATAAAAAATTTTCGTGTTCACAATAATTAAACTTTAGGATTTATTCTACAATTTGATGGGTTAAGAAGCTTAACTTTTCGAGAGTTTTCTTAACTTTTTAGTTTGAATTTTTGTTTTTTGAATAATTTTGCAAAAATTTTCGAAGTCGTGTCCGTTAAAATCAACAATTTTTTGCATGAATTATATTTCATTCCATACTTTAAATGTCAGAACGCTTTCAATTAATGTCTAATCTACCCATTTGCTATATTTTCTCGTTTGTTTTACTAATTTTTGACCTATTAATAAGCATGTTTTTGTTTTAGAAATTGATATTCAAATTCCCCGCCATATTTTCATAATTTGGTGCATGCGCAGACGTTTTTCCGCGGTGTTCATTAGTCCACAGCGAGAATCGAACTCACGATCTCAGAGGTAAAATGCGCATGCTCAGACTATGGCGCCACAGAAACCCCTTTGTAAGTGTGTATTTTTTATTTCAGGGTTTTGATGGGCCTTGGTATCGCTATTTCTTCAGATTTGTCTTGCTTTTCTCCTACATTATCCCACTAAGGTAGGCTTATATAGTTGTGAACTCTTCCAAAGCCAAAAGACCAAACACAACTGTGTGTTTCTCAATCAGTAACAATTTGTTTTGTGTCATTTTCCGATATTTAGCTTGCGTGTAAGTCTTGACATGGGGAAAGTAGTGTATTCGTGGATGATAACACGTGACTCAGAGATGCCTGGCACGGTGGTGCGCAGTAGTACAATACCAGAAGAACTGGGGAGAGTGGCCTATCTACTGACCGATAAAACTGGAACGCTTACTCAAAATGAAATGGTATGTTGTAGTTCTTTTTAATAGTTTACATCGGATTTCAATATTACGCGAGCATTCCTGACTAGTTATAACTACAAGCTTTCGTTGGTAGGGAGGCAACTACCTGAAAAATATAAGGAGAATTTCGACGTTTCGAGCGAAGGCCCTTCATCTGGAGTTACTAGTGGGGGGTCGAGAAAATTACATTATAAAAGCATCACGTGACAAAAAATAAACCAATCAGATGGATTTAGTCACAACAAAGTATAAACAAAAAATGTAAATCACGTTACGGAATATATTAATACAAAATACAGAAAACTACCACAAATACAACAAAATATATGAAACAAGTATGGAATAAGGTATTAAGAATTAAAAGTACTATCAGTGCCTGCTTTTGACAGGCAAAGACAGATAGAGTTAAACGTACAGTTAAACTTATAACTACGCAGTGGTGCATCTATTTTTTTACAGAAATTACAAATTTTGCTTAGCTTTTCTTTGGTATAATAATGATTCAAAGCAGTTACAGTACGGCTTATAAAACTACACACTGCATGGCAATATGGCCTAAAAGCTATAGAAATAACTAGAAAATACATTCAAATCGGTTAAAATAACCAATTTGACTTGGCTGTCTCAGATGCACTTATTTCACCAATATTGTATTGGTTAAAACCACCAGCTACCACTAGAATGTCAAATTTTATTAATTTTTTTATCTCATAAAAAATAATTATCTATGCATGGAATCCCGCCGAGACAAAAATCTTAATTGAACCCCGCTGTAGAATGACTAGTAACGTCTGCTTTTTGGGATGGATTTGCCTGAGCTGAGTTTTGGCTGGGTGCAGAACTTTGGGTATATTCTTGGAGAGATACCATTGTGTTACCTTGTGGAACACCTTGGTTGACCATCCCTTCTTTTGGCACTTGGTCAGCTAGGGCTGGATTTTGGGCAGCGTTTTGTGAGGCATTCTTGCAGGGTTGTAGAATATATGCAGGCGGTTGGCTGTTTGGAATTCCCTGCGTTACACCGGGTGTTTCTTCTGTTGCCCGTTCGTGTTCAATTTGAAGTTGATCGTGCTGCATGATCGGCATCGCAAGTCAGCTACGAACGACAGTTGCGACACATTGTCTCACGAAAGGACGTCGTCGAGAAGAGCACAACTTTGCTAAGATTATTAGAAATATAATGAGCGCAATGACAATCGCGATAACGATAGCTGCACTCGCATTAGCACTTGTTTCATTATATCACTGCTTCCGCCACGATCATTGTAAAGATTTGCAATTTAAAAAAGTCGAAGCTTTAATGTGGATGTAATATTTTAAATGCGACTATATGAGGACTGCATGGACTAGATTTCAAGTCCGTGTAATTTGATTGCTCCGAACCGAGGACTGGGTCAAAATCCGAGGAATAATCATTACTTAAAGTGAGGTGAATTAATTTTGATCCAGTTCAAGGACTGAATCAATATACTTCACCAGGTACCCAGTACTATCATGTGAGCAAAATAAAGCAATATGGCTGGCTAATTTTCTCATGAACTATTAACGATTTTGAGATAAAGTAGGAGTAAGCATTTGGCATTATATGCCGGTTTCCTTATTACGTTCAGCTGGCAATTTCTTAGTTTAGATAGGGCAAAAACGTAACTGTTATGAAAAAGTATATAAGATTAGTATAAGAAATATTATGTAAATGTTAACTAAAATATGCCAAGGAGTATATATAAAGAATTGTTAAAATGGAAATATATTTACAGCGAGGATCGTTGATGCAGTGACTTGTGCATATTTGATCTACGCAGCAGGTGGATGCTTTGCAATCATAATTTGTAGAGCATGAATTTTCAGAACATTTATCATCAGTTTCATCGCAATTTCGAGACGCCGCCTATTGAAATAAAAGCCAGTATAACGAAGCCCCATTTTCCCATTTTTGGTTCCGTCGGTTCACCGGTAACCAATTTGTACTTCCTAATTTTGAGAATAGACCACAATTTATGGACAACTAATGATCTTTTAGCGAACAAGATTGTTTCGTCCAGTCGTTGTTACTACTGCAATTACGTTGGAATGTCTATTTTATTCAAACGTGTTACTGTCTACTTCCTTGTTTATTACAAATTTATTGGAATGTATTTCATTCGAAATTTGCATCTTATTGGTGTATTTTAGTTTGAACCACTGATCTAGACCACTGATCTTTTATTTATATTTATTTAACTTCGCCATTATCATGCATTCATGGCAGGGTCACCACAACAGTATATGATACCAATTACTGTGGGCCCTTAAATCTAGATGAGTGCTTTGAACCCCGTCGAGACAATTTTATAAAGGAAAGTCGAAAGATATTAAATATATTCCCACACGATTTGTCTTCTTGTTTCAGACATCTTGCTGTGATTTTTATATTGACTGAGTATATTACTAAAGCCTGAAATCAAAAATTAAAATTTTTTTAACAATTCAGAATGTAATATAATTCTCAAAACTTGGTCTGACAATATCGTTGTGGTTGGACATGATTGGAAACTATTATTTAAAGAACTCGAAAAACTATTGCCAGTATTGGTATCTACTCTTGTCTATGCAATTTGTTATATGTAATGTAATGTAATGTAATGTAATGTAATGTAATGTAATGTAATAACTTTATTTAACGAGGCTTACATATAACAGCTAAAAGCTGACTAACCAATGGGCCTCCCTATAGTAAAACTAAGATAAAATTAAAAGCTAAGAATAGTCCTACATATCTTTAAAATATATAATAGATATAGATCTTTAAAAATTTTCTTAATTTTGCCTTGGAAGTGTTAATGTTACTTATTTTTCTAAATCTTATCTGGGATTTAATTGTTGAAACTGTAAAAGATCTTCCTTACAACTGATCACAAATGGTACTTCCTAGGATAAACGGTCGCATTGTGGAACTATGTGGTACACACGTAAAAACGCAGAAGTTGTTACAGGTTTGCAAACAAGTTGTTACAAATCTGTTCACAAGCTGTCGCAATCTGTTCACACTGCTTGTTCCCAGTTGTTGTGACAAGTTTGGAACAAGCTGTTAACAACTTGTAACAAGTTTGATGGCATTATCAGACTTGTTACAAAGTTGTTCTGACAAGTCTGATGCAATCATGATATAACAAGAATGTTACAAGGTTGTAACAATTTTGTTATAACCTTATATTGAACTTATATCATGACTTTATCGGACTTGTTGGAACAACCTTGCAACAAATCTGATAATATGAACAAGATTGTTATAACTGTTAACAAGTTGTTCCACACCTGTTGACAACTTGAGACAAGCAGTACGAACACAACTTGTTAACGGCTTGTTTGTGAGATTTTTGCGTGTGTACACCATTCATTTTGGGTTTAGTCTTCTTGAGCTGAATTGTTGTTCTTGCTTGATTTGACTGCAGGACGTGGGGAATAGGCGGGTGGTGGTCCCATTGTGGGGCCTTGTTGCACACTTTCTCTTGTATTGACATTTTCTTCTCCTTGTGTTTGGTGTCGATTTTGGCCAGAATTTTGAGTGTATTCGTCACAAGGTACTCTTGGAGAATATGTAGGCGGTGAGCAGTCTGGGATTTCCTGCACTGCACGTTCGTGTTCACGTGGAAACTCACCATCCACCACGCACTGAATTCGTTTATACTGGACCACGTCCTCACGGCGTGAAGACCACCTTAGACACCAACACATCCAGAATGCGAGTTTTAAAATCACCGCAATGACAATGATTACAAAACGTAAACCACTATAGCCGGCTGTACGCACACCACTGCTACGTCTTCCACTATGGTAATTATCATCGTAATCGTAAGGAGAATCTGGAATTTAGAAAAAAATAAGTGGATGCATCAAACTAAACGAACTCTAGGGGTGATCCAAGCTATCTGATGTTACGGGTATTTCTGGGGAACGAAAAGTTTGAAAGTGGGAGGGGTGATGGAGGGTTTGTTGTGAGGATGGTTACTTGATTATGACCTACCAAGTTCAAAATCAAAATTACCAAATTAGACCGAACTAGGAAAATGTATAACGTCGGAGCGTACTGACTGATAACAAAATTAAACTAAATTGTTAACCAAATGTAGTTAACCCGTGAGTTAACTTAGGCTACTTAGCTAAACCAAACTAAACCTAACCAAAAAATAAATAAAAGTTAATTCAAACTGTGTTGCTATAATTGCTAGCTGATGAAAACCTGTCGTGTCTAGTAGACTGAAACCGGATTACTCTTCCATGTGCGACTGAAGTAAATTGCATATTGTTGGAACTTGAACCATACGTAATGGTGAAAAGCAATACACTTAACCACTGTGTACCAATACCCTTTAGCCGTACTTACACTGCGAGCCTTGGTCTAGTCTGAGCCTAGCCTTTGGTCGAAAGTTTTGCTGTGCATACTAGCTTTGGCCCAGTACAGTATAGGCCTGACCTATAGTAGGCCACGATATCTTGGCCTACTGCGATCGTTGTCCTCGACCTGGCCTAAACCAATACTTGTGGTAAACAGTGTAAATGTGACACAGTTACTTTGGCTTGGCTCAGACAAGGCCAAGACTCGCAGTGTATACACAGCTTTGAACTACCACAAACATTTCATGATATAAGTGGTCAGTCAATATAGAAATATATTTACTTTGAGTACAAGTACGACAATATCCGTCCACACAGCAACCCTTGCCTGTTGAAAAACAATCATTGGAAGTAGAGCATGTGTCCAAAATATCTTTCACGTTGAAAGTAGGAAGTGAGAAATGGAAACAAGATAGAAACTTTTGGCATTTGTTGTCCTTGCAGCAACCACTATCACAGTCCGAGTTTGTAGTGCATTCGTTCATTTGTTTCTTTCTACACTGGTAGCTTGTCTTTGGTTTACATTTGAAACCGATACAACAGCCATCTGCACATTCCGAATCATCATATATGCATTGATCACTGCATTCATAATAAAAGCCGTCTCCTTTGCATGTTGCGTTAACGCAACAACCTTCCCAACAGTCTTCCGATCTTAAACATCTTTCTTGACACTTGACAAAAACGATGAATGGCGCGACGACAACCAATATAATCAACCCCGCATTAGTCATGGTTAATTCCTATAACACAAGAACAAATTCCCAGTTTCTTTATGTGAAAAAGATTGGTAATTTACCACGAAAATATTATGTTTTTAAGCAAACTCAAGAACCCTTCGCACTGTTTGACTGTCGACTTCCTGTTTATCGGCATTGCCTTTGAAATGTATATTTTATTCAAATGATGTTTCATCACGATATTGCTTGTCTGTTTTTGTTTGAACCCCGTCGCGACAATTTCAAAAGAAAAAATATTACATTGAGTCCAATAGTTTTGAATTGGTGCCAATTTGTCTACCAGTTTCAGGCACCTTACTGGAACTTTTCATTAGGATTGTGTTTGGTACTGTTGCATGTTCTTGGATGTAGCTCCTTGGCAGGGGCTAAACTAGCCCCTCTTAATTCGGGGGGGGGGGGGGG